AACAATGCAATTAATGCCATTAGCTGTCTCTCAGAAGCTCTTCTACACTTTGGTGCCAACAACAGTCCGCTCATGCAGCCATTTATTCATGCATTCATGCACGTATGCCCTTTTCTGTTTAGCAAAGGTTAAGTTCACACCTACTATGTGCCTTACCAGGCAAAGACCTGGGACTAGAGAGATGAACTAGACACAGTCTCTGCTCTAGGAGACTTGTAACAAGAGGGAAATTATTATAATACAGGGTGATGAAGTACGGCCAGGATGCTACTGAAAAGCAGAAGAGGAAGTGGATGGAGAAGTACTTCATTCTCCAGCACCAGTTCAAATCCCAGCCCTGCCACATTTTAGCTGTGAGTCTTAAACAGTCAATTAACTCTAAATCCCATTTAGAACATAGGGATGATCATCCGAACATCTCACCAGGAATTGGGAGGATTAAAAGAGATAATGCCTTTCAAGTGCCCAGCACAGGACACGGCACAGACGGGGTGTGCTTGGTAAACAGAGGCTATTAGGATTTGATGCCCTCATGTCAGCCTTCAGACTTTGCCAGGAACATCCCATTTCATTCCATTTTCTTCTTGCCTGAGAGGATTAAGAGGATGCTACAGTTCAGAAGGCTGAGAGTGAGGCAGAAAAATCCGTTTTCTCTGTACACATGGACAAGTGGGACAGCAAATTTCAGAGAACAGTCTTGCCCAAGAGGGTGCTCAATGGATGAGGCTCAAATGCACATCAAGTCTCCCCCCACTGGAGGACTGCTCCCTGGGTTCCTCCACCTGTCAGACCACCTGCTTCTCCTTAAGTCATTCCTCCATCATAGTCCCAGAGACAAAGGTACTTGGAATCTTCGTAATGGATCAGAATACTTGGATCACAGATACAAATTCAGGGTGGGCTAACTGGTATGATGGGCCAGACACACACACACACACACACACTCTTGCCAATCCACTATGGACACACATGCATACGTGCCGTGGGGGACTTGCTAGAGCTCTGGCTGCTCTAAGATGGTCTGGCAATGACAATGATGCGTCTTTCTTTTATGGGGGAAAAAAAAGGTATACCCATAAATTTATATATGTAAGTATATATGTGCATATATACACATACACATACAAACACATGATTAGAAAATTTCTGAAATGACACACAAGAAACTGTTCGCAATGGCTACCCTCATAAAATTGGGGAGATGCATTGTGAGAGGAGTTTTAGATTCTATTAAAAACCCTTCTAAACTGTTATTTTTACATGAGCATACATTATCTATCTATATCTACATCGACACTGCTATCTAAATCTATATAAAACAAAATACAATCTGGCTCCAAGAGTCTGCAAGTGGTTCTTCCAGACTTGGAGGGAGGGTGGGCTTGGAGGTAGAGGGATAAAGAGGGCACAGGGAAGGGAGGACCGTCAGGAACTTACTGGTGTTGTGGTCTATGAAGTAATCTCCAACCTGTGGGTCATATGCCTCTTCCCATCCTAGCGGCAACTCATCACTAATGCAGTCAGCAAAGGTTAGCGGTTTGGTGTACCTGGCAAGGGAGAGGAGAAACAGACTCCATCAGCCTACAATCCCCAAACGCCTGCAACATGCTGCTTCTCTGGGCTTCTTGCTTTTCTGGGCTGGCCCAACAGATCCAGAAGTTTTGCACTGCAGCAGCACCAGCTCTGTTGTCCCCTTTGTTCCCAGGAAGGCGAACACGTAGCTGCAGCGGCAGGAAGAGATCACCCTGTGGGGGAGGCAGGGAATCTAGTCCCAACTTTGCCACTCCTTCAGAAGTGACTGGAGCAAGTCATCTTACTTCTTAGAGTCTCTATTTCTGCATCTCTAATTGAGGGTTTGCAGGAAAAAGGTCTAAGGTCAGGTCTTGCTACTTGGACTCCAGTCCTCCTTGGCTTCTCCAACTGCAACTAACTCAGCCAACCCCACCTCCAATCTTTATCCTGGCTCTGTCTCACATCTGTCATGCTCACTTGCCCTTTGGAAGCCTGGCTTGCCGCAAAATCAAGAATAGCAGATGTTCCATCCCTGTGAGTTTGGCCAATGAGTAGTATTTATTTTCCTCTTGAGCTGATTCCCAAATGCTTGCACCCACAACAGCGCTTCCCTAGACAATCCAGGCCAAAATGATCTTTTTGCAAGAGCCACTCTCTATGTCCCCACCTTGTGGGGAGTGAAGTGGTAGTAATCACCAAGTCTCAGCAGCTGAATCAAAGAAACAAATCACTCAACTAAACCAGCAAAGGCTTGTCAGTGCTGGAAAACTATCACAAATGATTTGTTACATATTTTAACCAGGGTACGGGAAGCCAGGAATATGGGTATATGAGATTCAGCCTGGGTGGTCCCTCCAGACAGTCACTTTGGTTTCTCCCTGTTGCTGCCTCTGCCTAAAATACATATTCTACAATCTCCTTCTCCTGTCTGCTTCCTACCCGATCCCAATTCTAGAAGCCCAGAAGGCTCTGCTTCAGATTCTTTCTATAGATTGGCAAAGTGAAGTACAACGGGACAGGACGGGAGATGACTGGCCTGGGGTCTCGGATTTCTCATCAGGATCTTCCTTCCTAGGAACGAGACTTGCTAGATATGGCACCTCTCAACAGCTCCTCTGCTGCTGCATATGGATCATCACCTTTTAAATTCCTTCTTGGGGCCTGGCACGGTGGCTCATGCTTGTGATCTCAGCACTTTGGGAGGCTGAGGCGGGCAAATCACCTGAGGTCAGGAGTTCAAGACCAGTCTGACCAATGTGGAAAAACCCTGCCTCTTCTAAAAATACAAAACTAGCCAGGCGTGGTGGTGCATGCCTGTAATCCCAGCTACTCGGGAGGTTGAGGCAGGAGAATCACTTGAACCCAGGAGGTGGAGGTTGCAGTGAGCCAAGATTGCAGCATTGCACTCCAGCCTGGGCAACAGGAGCAAAACTCTGTCCCCATCCCTCCTCCAAAAAAAATCCTTCTTGGGGATTAAATGATTTTAATCAATGGTGCAACCAAGCTACAGAATCCTGTGTCCAGGACAATTGGTGCTCAATAAATACTTGTGCAATGGGGTCCAGTGTGGTGGCTCACGCCCATAATCCCAGCACTTTGGGAGGCTTAGGTGGGTGGATCACTTGAGGTCAGGAGTTTGAGACCAGTCTGGCCAATGTAATAAAACCCCATCTCTATTAAAAATGCAAAATTAGCTGGACATGATGGCTGCTGCCTATAATCTCAGCTACTCAGGAGGCTGAGTCAGGAGAATCGCTTGAACCTGGAAGGTGAAGACGGCAGTGAGCCGGGATCGCACCACTGCACTCCAGCCTGGGTGACGGCATAAAACTTTGTCTCAAAAAAAAAAAATTGCGCAGTGGGTGAATAATGTAATGAATACATAAGAAGAAACAAAAAAAGATAAGGATTACATTCTCCTGCCCTCTAAAGCCCACTCCAAATCCAACTTAAAGAAAAATGCATGAAGAAAGGAGCGCTGAAAGAGCCCGTGCTGGATAGGACCTGGTATGTTCATGTACCACAATATACCCAGGCTCTGGCAGGCTATGAAAAATATCCTTGGTTGAATGAATGAATACCCAAAAGCTTCTGATAGTAATTTACTGCTGCATTGTGGAAGACTGTTGGTTCCATGAGGATGAGGCCAGAAGTGTGTGGTGTGCAACACATTATGTGCTAAATTAGCCAGGTATGGTGGTGTGCACCTGTTGTCCCAGCTACTTGGGAGACTGAGGTGGGAGAACTGCTTGAGCCCAGGGGTTGGCGGCTGCAGCGAGCTATGATGGCACTACTGCCGCTATAAGCTGGGCAACAGAGCAAGACCCTGCCTTTAAAATACCACCACCACCACCAACAACAAATAAGGGTTCAGTAAGCATTACTTACTGGCTGTGTGAGTTAGGCAACTTATGTTACTTCTCTGAGCCTCAGTATTCTTATCTGTATAACAGGGACAGTACTAACTCTCTGGTTGTTGGGTGGGTTAAATAAACCCATGTTTGTGAGTACTTTTGGCACAGGTGCCAGTGTGAAAGGGGAATTAAAAATCATTAGGCTGGGCGGGGCGGCTCACGCCTGTAATTCCAGCACTTTGGGAGGCTGAGGCGGGCCGATCACCTGAGGTTGAAAGTTTCAGTCCAGCCTGACCAACATGGAAAAACCCCGTCTCTGCTAAAAATACAAAATTAGCCAGGCGTGGTGGCGGGTGCCTGTAATCCCAGCTACTCGGGAGGCTGAGACAGGAGAATCACTTGAACCCGGGAGGTGGAGGTTGCAGTGAGCTGAGATCGTGCCACTGCACTCCAGCCTGGGCAACAAAAGCAAAACTCTGTCTCAGGAAAAAAAAAAAAAAAATCATTAGTTATCCTTACCTCCATTTACTAGAAGGAGAAACTGAGGCTAAGAAAGACTAAATAACATTCTCAGTGTCAAAGACAAAGCTGGGATTTCAAGAAAGATGGCTGGTCTCCAGGGCCCCTGCGGGGAGCCACCAGATTCTCTTAACAGTTGACACCTTCAGTGCATCTCCTAAGCCCCATGGGAAACACAGGCCACAGTTTTGGAGTAGAAGGAGGGAAAATGGGGAAGACACAGATGATGGAGTCCTCAGCTTAGAATGCGCTTGGTTCAGGAGCACTTTCTCCAAACAACCTGGATAAAGTCTCCAGACCACTTGCCACTGCACCCCATGCCCTGCTATATGTCCGAATCGAAAGACCACTTCCCTCGGTGTCTTGCTCAAAGTTAAGTGGTTTGTTCCCTCTTCCTTATGGAGAATGAAGACCAGCGACCAAGTGCCATGCCTCATCTAACATCACCTCATCTAACAAAGCCTTGAAAGGGACTCTGAAGGAAAGCTCCACACACAGGCATGCCCTCCATGGGGAGTGACTGGCTGATGACAGGCCAATCTGTGGGAGAACAGGCATGGTTAGGCCACCAGCGAGATCTTTCTTTCTGCCTCATTCCTCCACCTGCACTGTGCCCAGAGAAGTCCCACCTACCAGCAGAGGTAGAAATCTTGTTTTTTTTTTTTTTGAGACTGAGTCTCACTCTGTTGCCCAGGCTGAAGTATAGTGGCGTGCTCTTGGCTCACTGCAACCTCTGCCTCCTGGGTTCAAGCGATTCTCTTGCCTCAGCCTCCCGAGTAGCTGTGACTACAGGTGAGTGCCACCACGCCTAGCTAATTTTTGAATTTTTAGTAGAGACAGGGTTTCACCATGTTGGCCAGGACGTTCTCGATCTCTTGACCTCGTGATCTGCCCGCCTCGGTCTGCCAAAGTGCTGGGATTACAGGTGTGAGCCACTGCGCCCGGCCACGAATCTTTTTTTTTTTTTTTTAAAGACAGGGTTTCACCATATTGGTCAGGCTGGTCTTGAACTCCCGACCTCAGGTGATCCGCCCGCCTTGGCCTCCAAAGTGCTTGGATTACAGGCTTGAGCCACCATGCCCGGTCTACAAATCTTAATAATAGACAGTTTGCAACCTGGAAAACCAAGAAGATACATCCCCTCCCAACAGCTCCCCCGTTTCTACGTATGGATCATCACCTTTCAAAGTTCCTCCTTGGAGATTACTTAAGTGATTTTAATCAGTGGTGCATCCAAGCTACAGAATCCTGTGTCTGGCACAATTGCTGCTCTGTAAATATTTGTGCAATGGGTGAATAATGTAATGAATATATAGGAACAAGCAAAAAAGATGAAGTGTTCTTTATTTTGTTAACATGGAAGATGCTCTTAATATATTCTGAGAAAAACAACATAGTTGAAAGATAAAAACGACAGGATAGTGTTACAATATGACATTTTACCGAGTGAGCGAGAGAGAGAGAGAGAGAGAGAGAGTTTGTAAAGAAACTGGAAAGATAGACATTAAAATGCTATCTGAATACAGGGATTTCAGTGTAATTTTCTTTTTTTTTAACTAATTTATTTGCAATGTTCATATATGAAGCATAACTTTAATAATGGCTAACTCTAGGCCTAGAAAGCAAGTTGTGTATCTCAGATTCCCTTCCCCGGTAGCAGGTGCTCTTACTGTTTTGCAAATAAGAAAACATGCTCAACAGTCAGTTACGCAGTCAGTAACCACCAGAGGTGTAACCTGAAGGTCCACGCCAGATTCCAAAACTTGAGCCCTGCTAATAAACATTAACAAGACGAAGTGAGTCTCAGAACAATCTAGAACACAGAGCAAGCCACGTTAGAAGTACAGATGGTGAAACTGACCACAGGGACATCTGAAGCAGGCAAAAGACATGGGGGCTTTGGCGTATTTGGGACCTTTAGTTATCTGTGTGTTAGTGCAAGGATATTCAACAGACCTGGGGAGTCCATGGCTGCTTAATAAAAAGGCAATTGTTTCAAAATCATTAATACAAATGATTTACTGAGCTTGCTGGGTGTAAGGATGGAGATGGGGTTAGGAGGACAGAACTGAAACACTGAAAATGTGTCACTATCTGGAAAACCATTAACTCCACTCATTGTTCCAGCCTTATACATTGAGAAGTCAGAGCTTAATACATTT